AGACTTGAAGAAGGCGTGGAGAACTTCTTAAGTGCTAGGGACTACGCTTTGTAACCGTTTACCTCAAAGCTAGTGGAACAGTGGACTAGAGGAACGTGTTGTTCCTTGAACCACTATAAAACTCCGGTGTCATTTACTTTACTGCATTTACTTTCTGCACTTAGGACTTTAACTATTTAACTCTAAGACTTGGAATCTGTGTTCAGCAGATCTTGTTTTCAGAGTTATCAGAAAGGCACTTGCCATAATATTTGTTTGAGGCTACCCGGAACTCTTATCCGCTGCAAGACCAGTTCTGATTATCAGAACTCGACCCTCTCTGACAAGTCAACTCTGACTTAGAGAAAAGTTGAAAAACTTGAATCAGTCTATTCACCCCCCCTCTAGACTGATTACCAACTCAAACGGGACCAACAAGTAGGCTTGGCAGTAGGCTGGTGAGCAGGTAACTGCTTAGGCTACTGCTGCACAGGCAGTTTGCTGACTGGCAGGCAACTGCTGAGGCAACTGTTGAGGACTAGGATGACTCTTGGATGGCTTTTTGTTCTGGCTTGTTATGGGGTTTGGAAAGACACGTTTGGATGGGCAGTGGGCTCAGCAGGAGGGTGAAGACCAGTGTACTGCTGAGTTACCTTCTAAGTTTAAGACAACTTCTAGTGGAAAACACTCTCAAGGAGAGTGAGTTATTAAGCAGTAGGCGAAGACCAGTAGAGTCGATGAAGACTACTGCTTAGGATGCTGCTGGCAAACTACAAACCTTTAGTGAGATGTGTTTGGTGTGTGCTCTGTATGTATGAAAGTAAATCAACACACCATGTATCCTGGTTCAGAGGTGGTGTAATCCTCCTACATCCAGTCCCATTCTATTTCAAATGGATTTCCACTAAAGTATTCAGCCCAATACAATTAGTGCCAATCTAGCCTTGACAACCCTGGCCTAGATTGAAGGTTTTTCACAATGAGTATTACACCACTCAAAGTTACTCAGTCCTTAGACTTTTCTCAATTGATCCAGTGGGGATCAAAAGGTACTCTATCTATCTAACCACACTTTAGGATCCGAACAACTGTTCTCCTAAGTGTTTACAACCACTTGTAAAATGTTACAAGGAATTTCTGGCCACCAACTAAAACCTAAGCTCTATAAATGTTACAATGAATAATCTAGTCTAAGAGCTTAGTGAAGCATGAGTCAAAGCAGAGTGTTCAAGCACTTTCTCTTTTGCTGGATATGCGTAGTGTAATGACTGAATCACTTGCTTTGAACTCAATGACTTATTTTTGAACTCATGCTTCGGCCTATTTTTATAGGCATCTCCAGTAGATTAATTTCCTCCGTTGGTTGAGAGGATTTAAATCTAGACGTCCAAAGTATTGTACTTGTGTCTTCTTGTGTTGGAGCAGGATAAGGAATTGTCTTTGGTGCTGCTTGAAGGCCAACTTGCTTCGTACGAAATGTCAACCCATACCTTAGGCCTTTTCTTCACTGTTCACCTGCCATTAGGTCTTGGCTTTGTCTTGCAACTATACTCATGTAGTAAAGTGCGTGAACCTGCTCAATTTGTGTAGTGAAAGTAGTAAAATGTGTGACTTAGAATATTTTGTACCAAATAAATTTTGTACTGGTAGGATCTTTTAAATATCCTATTAAGGTAGTAAAATTACCTTATTGCATTTTGTTCTTTCCAGTACAATTTATTTGGTACAAATTTTACAATAAAATTTGTCACTTATTTTACTAATCACTTTCTTCCTAAAGTGACATGATTGAACTGATGTATCAAATAAAAACTATACTGGTTGGATTTAAATATCCATGTAAGGTAAAAAAAATTTACCTCATTGTATTTTATAATTTCCAGTATGTTTAATTTGGTACATAGTTTTTACATTCGTGTTTTTGTCACTTTTAGAGTTTGTGAAGTTTAGCAGGTATTGTGTACAACTTAACTGGTAGATGATTTTTCCAGTCAAATTTATTTGTCTAATTAAATGGACCAAGGAGCAAGACACATCTAGATAGGTTTTCTTAGTACTAGTCAATTTCAAGATGTTACAGCAGAGGATAACCAAGACTACTACATTTTCCAAACTTATAAGAATGCTACAAATAGAGGGGAGATAACAAAAGCTTTTGGCATCATCAAAATAGTTCATCAAAATCTAGGGTCTAACAGTACTGCTGAGGCACCTTCTGTCACGCCCCGGACCTCTCCGGACACGTCAACAACCCGCCGTACAATACGAATAGTCAACCGCAGTCCAACACATTCATATTATACAAGGAGCCTCGAATATCATTCACACGTAAGCCATCCATAAACAACATAACAAGCAATCGAATACGTAGCGGAAAACATAGTTTGAAAACAAATGCCACACGTGGCTAACATGAGCACGCATGCTCTATAGTAAAATATTCATGAGCATGTTTATTAATGTTTAAAAACCGAATGGAGGAAGCACGAACCAAGTCTTCCCTCCTAGATGATCTCTCGAGCAACGAGCACAGGAAGCAAGCTCTAGCCTCAACCTGAAAAATGGTGGTGGGACGCCCCCGAAGGGGTCAGCACTCTATAGGGCTATAAAGTGCTGGTGTGGATGGCATCTAATAGATATACAACAAGTATTTCAAACACAAGACCCTCAAATAGGGTGATAATATAATCTAGGCCGTAACCCCAAGTTACCCCTTTTTAAAATATACTTACTTTATATATAATAAGTCAAGTAGTCGGCCCGTAGGCCCAAGGTTTGTTTATCAAACATAGCCCAAAACCCCGTGACCCCTAGTCACAACAATTCATAGGGTTCAACCCTAACACATATGTTTGCATTCTCGAGTCCAACTCGACTACATCACCATGCACCTTAATTAACATAAGCTAACTACTCCACCGTGCATTTCTTGAGTCCAACTCAACTACATCACCATGCACAACAATCACCCCATCATGTCTACCCAATGCAATTCTATGAGCACGGCTCAAGTACATCTCCTTACATTGGCATAGACCCCAATTCCTAAGCACTCGCTATGCCTAGAATTTGTAATATCAATAATCTATTTTGGGACATCCTTACGGACTGCCCAACCATGGTCTTAGCATCACATTACATCAATTTAGTCACTTGCATCACAATCAAGTTCATCAATTACAATCAAATCCTTAGATTCAATTCTTCAACAATTACAACAATCATTAACTAGTATTTCAATACTATTAAGATTATTCTTATCCATCATATATTCCATTTGTAAAACCCTACATATTTAGAGATATGTAGCAGCAACTTAATCATTCAATGTAATACATAAATAATCATTTATGTATCTACACAATTCACACATGAGTAAAATGCCTATTTCACACAATAGTTCATTTAACTCCATTTTTATCAATACTTTACCAAATCATTTCCCATTTCATTCTTTGGAAAATAGATCAATATTCCATCAATAAGTTATCATCATAATCCATGGAAAACATTATTTAGGCATTTAGGTAATCTCATGCTTAACCTACAAGTTGTAAGCAACTAGATGTCGATCCTCACCTCAAATGAGCTTTAAAACTTTCCTTCTCGATCCAATGACCAAAACCTCGGCCAAGGAAGCTTGAGAACTGATTCCTTTCTTAGAAATGAGTGTCAAACAGCCTCCTCAAAGTGCTAGTTCAACCCTTAATCGTTGGTACGAAAACAGCCCCTAGAATGGGTGTTTTCCGGTTAACTCGTTTCCTAGTTTTTTTTCCAAGATTTGCTCTAGGTTAGTATCTAACCTTTACATCAATAAAATAACTTTATGGGGACATGTTATACACTTGGATTAGTGTACAATAGTTCCAGAAATCATTCATATCATTTGGAAAATGAAAAGAAAGGTTTTGGGGTTAACAACTCACTTTTGAAGAGTAGTTCCGTTTCTGCGAGGTTGTGTTTTGCTCGGACGATTTGGAAGCCTTCCACTACTCCGATTTATGAAAACCAGACCTTCAAGGATTCCTCGTCTTGAGAGATTTCTTTTGGTATCTTACACGGATTAATTGGATTGGTATAACTCGAGATATCAACCAAACAGCTTCAGCACTCTCACTGCTCGAGTTTACAGACAACAGTTCACTCCAGCTCGATTGTTTGTATGATAACTCTCTCCTCTCGAACAGAGACCACTCAAATATGAAAATAGAATTCAAAGGCTATCCAAGGACACCTTATACACGTTGTTTGGTCGAGTATAACTCCCATAATGAGTGGAGACAAACAGCACACCATTTTGTGCGAAAAAAGGAGATGGTGGCCCAACATTTGATTCCTATCAAGTCTTGTGCAGCTCCTCTCCATGGTGGTCGGCCAAGGTAAGACTTCTCACCCATTTTTATTTGTCTTGCAGGTACTAATATCATGTGGAGTGGTTCCCCATTGATCCCAATTATTTTGGGGTCCAAAATATCTATCAATACTTCCAAAAATGGGAAGATGGGTTATATTGTTTTATCTTTTGTCAAAGGTGTCTTTTTGTACTCATCCTAACTTATTTAGAACAAGTCAACTTCCTACATCACATTATTGATCTCCAATATGTGTAGTCTCATCTCAATAATTTACTTGGTGGGTATTATAGAAGGAAAAATCCTACTCCCATTATTTAACTCAATAATGTCAAAGATGGGATCATAGGCATTTGTATTCACCACAAATCATCCTATCACTTATTTCGACATTTGTCATCCATATTATTGGACTACCATCCGTGTGGGTCACCCCCGAGTGGGCCTACGACGCCATTCTCGAATACTTGCTATTTTAGCGGGTTGAGCCCAAAATAATGTCTGGGCCGCCCGCCCTTCCTCAACTTGTCTTGAAACGTTATGTATCACTATTTAGATAATGTTAGGCTCTTTTATTTATTAATAAGGCCCAAACGAGTATTCGCAAGCCCGACACTAATATACGAGTTCGAACAGTATAATAATCGATCATTAATTACGTAAAACATCAATCATTTAGCTACCAACACCAAGCTCTCGGCTCGAGCTCCTGCCGCCATGGTGAACGTTCCAAAGACCAAAAAGACATTTTGCAAGTCCAAGGAATGCAAGAAGCACACTTTGCATAAGGTTACTCAGTACAAAAAAGGAAAGGATAGTCTTGCGGCTCAGGGGAAGCGTCGTTATGATCGTAAACAATCTGGTTATGGTGGACAGACCAAACCAGTCTTCCACAAAAAGGCCAAGACCACAAAGAAGATTGTCTTGAGGCTGCAATGTCAGGGATGCAAGCATGTCTCTCAGCACGCAATCAAGAGGTGCAAGCATTTTGAGATCGGTGGTGACAAGAAGGGGAAGGGAACATCTCTGTTTTAAATTAGTCTTGGAATATCATACGTAGTATGTTGTTTTATTTTGTTTGTTATATCATGGAGGCTCTAATGCAACAATTTAGTTTTGTCAATTTTGTTGGTTTTTTTGTAATGGTCAAGTGCATTACAGATTGATGTGTATTATGACTGATATTTCTGAAATTTCAGACTGCTACTTTTTGTTCTGCTGGTAAAAAAAAATCAATCATTTACAATTGTTTGGGAATCAGAAATTCAATACATAAACTTTGAATTTTTAAATTGAATTTTCAAGGACGTTCGGGTGCGGTGTCACAAGTTCACCCCCCCCCTTAACAGGAATTTCGTCCCCGAAATTCACAGCTCTATTCGAAAAGGAAGGCATATTGCTTCCTCATCAAAGCTTCTGTTTCCCATGTCTCTTCTTCGACCCGATCGCTCTTCCAAAGGACTTTAACCATTGGGACTTCTTTACTCCTCAGTTTCTTCACCTTTCTATCGGTGACCTTGATTGGTTGCACAGCGTAGTTCAAATCCTCACGTACTTCTAGAGGCGGCTTTTCCAATACGTGAGAGGGATCATGCACATACTTCTTAAGCATGGATACATGAAACACATTATGTATCTTTTCTAACTCCGGAGTCAGCTGTAGACGATATGCTACGGGCCCAATCCTCTCTATAATTCTGAATGGACCTATATATCGTGGGTTAAGTTTTCCTCGGGTTTGGAATCGAATGATTCCTTTCCAAGGAGAAACTTTCAAGAATACCTCGTCATCAACCTTAAACTCTAAGGTTCTCCGACGCTTATCTGCATAACTCTTTTGTCTATCCTGAGCCGCTTTGAGTCTCTCTCGAAATCAACTTCACCTTTGATTTGGTGACCTCAACCAACTCAGTACCCTCGAGTTTGGCCACGCCAACCTCGTCCCAGCATAACGGTGTACGGCACCTCCTACCGTACAATGCCTCGTATGGAGGCATACTGATGCTTGCCTAATAACTGTTGTTATAGGCAAATTCCACAAGTGCTAAGTGGTTGTCCCAACTTCCTTGGAACTCGACTGATGTATTCGGCTATTTCCCTCTTCATTCCAGACCACCAGTAACTTTCTTTCAAATCACGGTACATTTCCGTGCCCCCCGGGTGCATGGCATAAGACGATGAATGAGCCTCCTCTAAGATGGACTTTCGGAGCTCGTCATCTGACGGTACACACACTCGGTCACGAAATAACAAGAGACCATAATCTCTTTCCCTGAAATCCTCCACTGGTCCCGCTTGCATGCGTTCCCGGACCTTCATAAGTTCTGCGTCAGTCTCTTGACCCTTCTTGATCCCCTCAAGTAGGGTCGGTCTCACCTCAAATCGTGCCAATAAGGCACCATCGCTAGATACATCCAATTGGGCCCTCAATGCCCTCAAACTAGTCAACAATGCCCCAGACGAACTCTTCCGACTGAGGGCATCTGCTACAACATTTGCCTTACCTGGGTGGTACTCAATAACTAGATGGTAGTCCTTTATAAACTCCATCAACCGTCTTTGTCTCATGTTTAACTCTTTCTGAGTAAACACGTACTTCAAGCTCTTATGATCAGTATATATGTAACATGTCTCTCAGTAGAGATAATGTCTCCAAATCTTCAGTGCAAACACTACTGCTCCCAGCTCCAGATCATGGGTAGGGTAATTTACCTCATGCTTCTTCAACTGTCGTGAAGCATAGGCAATTACTCTCCCCTCCTGCATCAACACACACCCAAACCCTTGGATGCTTGCGTCACTATAGACATCGTACCCCATACCCTGTTTGGGTAATGCAAGTATCGGTGCCTCGGTCAATCTCTTCTTCAGTTCGATGAATCCTTTCTCACATTTGTCATCCCATATAAACTTAGCTCCCTTTCGAGTGAGCTTCGTCAACGGCGACGCCAAAACAGAGAACTTTTCCACGAACTTTCTGTAGTAGCCTGCCAATCCAAGGAAACTACGAATTTCCTTGACATTCTTTGGTCTCTCCCATTCGGTAATGGCCTCTATCTTCTTGTTATCAACAGCAATTCCCGATCCCGAAACCACATGCCCGAGAAAGCCAATTTCCTTTAGCCAAAATTCACATTTAGAAAATTTGGCATAAAGTTGTTTCTCCCGTAGTGTCTCAAGAACAAGTATCAAGTGCTCCTCGTGCTCTTCTTCACTCGTTGAGTAAATCATGTCATCTAAGAACACAATCACGAATCGATCCAAGTATTTATGGAATACTCGGTTCATCAAGTCCATGAATGCCGCTGGGGCGTTTGTTAACCCAAACGACATAACAAGGAACTCAAAATGCCCATACCTTGTGCGGAAAGCACTCTTTGGTATGTCATCTTCCTTAATCTTCAATTGATGGTACCCCGACCTCAAGTCAATCTTCGAAAACACGGTTGCTCCTCGTAGTTGATCAAACAAGTCATCAATCCTAGGCAAGGGATACCTATTCTTGATTGTGACCTTGTTCAGTTGACGATAGTCAATGCACATTCAAAGTGTCCCATCTTTCTTTTTTACAAAAAGGACCGGTGCTCCCCACGGGGAGTGGCTTGGTCTAATGAAACCATTATCCAAAATCTCTTGCAATTGGGTTTTCAACTCGTTAAGTTCAGCGGGTGCCATACGGTATGGCGGTATGGAGATTGGTTTGGTGTCGGGCTCGACCTCGATCACAAATTCAATCTCTCTATCAGGTGGAAGCCCCGACAGGTCCTTTGGGAAGACATCCGGGTACTTACAAACCACCCTCACGTCGTCGATGTTCGTTTCCTCCTTGGTTTTGTCAACCACGTATGCGAGATAAGCGTGGCATCCCTTTCTCATCATACTTCTCGCTCTCACAGCGGATATGATACACCTGTTTGATTTGCCTCGGTCCCCCTCGAAGCGTAGGGTACCCCCATCATTGCCTTCGAGTTCCAAAACCTTTGTGTAGCAATCTACCCTAGCATGATGCTTTTCTAGCCAATCCATCCCCAGGATTGCATCGAACTCCATCATACTTAGCGGTACGAAATCACACGTCAAGGTTTGGCCACCGATTTCCACCATACAAGATGGATAGTAATTGGTTCTTTCAACGTCTTCCCCTAATGGTGTTGATACCACTAAAGTTTGCGTCATTGGTATTGATTGTATCTCTAAGCCCTCGGCGAACGCCTCACTTACGAATGAACGTTGCGCTCCGGTATCGATAAGGATTCGTGCATGCTTCCCATTAATCTTTAGTGTTCCTACATTTATAAGTCATGTGAGATACCTTTCCTACCATTCTTATACATTTAGAGAGGTTTATTATGTTCACACACGTGTTTGGGATCAAGAACAGGTCTTAACGTTGCAATACGGCACGAAAAAGTCGACTTTGGGCTGTCCAGGAGGTACGCACGGCGTGCCTAGGAGGTACGCACGGCGTGCGTGTCTTATAACCTCAAAAAGGAGCTACTGCCACGGACGCACGGGAGGACGCACGGGGGTACGCACGGCGTGCGTCCATCCACGCACGGCGTGCGTCCATCCACGCACGGCCGTGCGTGTAGCAATTTCTTTCCGGTTGCTACTGCCACCAACGCACGGACCAACGCACGGCCGTGCGTATAGCAATTTCTTCCCGGTTGCTACTGCCACCAACGCACGGACCAACGCACGGCCGTGCGTATGGTCCAGCCTGGTGTGCGTTGGCGGAAATCAGCCGTCTTTCGCCCGATTTCGCTCCGTTTGATCCCAAAACTTCGTGCAATGATCCCAACGACTAGCAACCTCAATTTATGGACTAATCAAGGGTAAAACACAAGTATACAAAAGGTAATACCTGCAACGGAATCCGGGTTAGCTTGAGCATCCGCCTCCGTCATCGCATAGACTCTAGCTTGAGTCCTTCCTTGATTCACGGACGGCGCGTTGCTTGCACTTGCTCCCCCTTGCCCCCTGGACGCGTGTGAAGCCCCGGCTTGATTCCGTGTCCCGGTATTACCACTACTTGGCCCTAATGCCCTCGTCCCGCCCAATTGTGGGCAACTCATCTTCATGTGTCCGGTGCTCCCGCATTGGTAGTATTTAGGAGGGTCACGACATTTCCCCAGGTAGTTCCTCTTGCAATTCTTGCAACAAGTCACCCCCGAGGCTTGTGATTGCCCGCCCGGGCCTTGACTTCCCCTAGATGGCAGTGGGGGTGTCCGAAAAGATCCCCCTCCCCCATGGTTCCCCTTTTTGCTAGGACCTTGAGGTCCATGGTTCTCCCACTTCCTCTTCTTCGCCTCTTCGGCGTTCTTCATCTTTCTTTCTTCCCATTCCTTCTCTCCTTTCAATCCCTGCTCGACCACCTGGCTAAAGGTCATGTTAGGCAACTGTGTTGCCCTCTCACGCACCTCCAAATCTAAGGCATCCCAGAAGTGATTTACCATCCGGTTTTCATCACAGCCATACTCCGGTATGAACTCCGCGAGCTCCCTGAATTTGTGTTCAAGTTGCCTCACCGTCATTTTGCCACCTTGGTTTAGGAGGGTATACTCTCTCCTCTTATTGTTCACCTCAAAATCAGAATAGTATTGGGAAAAGAACTCCTGTCGGAAATTCTCCCAAGTCACGGTATTGCCATACTTTCCCTTGGCTCCGTCCCACCATGTGGATGTCATCCCTTCAAGCAATCTCACTGCCACCCTTAGTTTAAATTCGGGGGTGAGTTGCATATCAAGGGCTGCTTCATTCAACCTCTTGATCCATTCCGCGGCGACCGAGATGTCACATGCTCCGTTGAAGGGTTTGCACCCCAAGTCTCTCGCCTCTTTGAGAAATTTTGAGATCCTTATGATTGGACCTCCATCACCCCGGCCCCCATGTGGTTCAATGTGGGCCCTAGAGTCGCCATGGCTTCTTCCTCTCGAAGCCCCACCCGAAGTTCGCCCTCCTCGGCGCCTTCAGCGTTCCCTCCTTTCCTCGCGCTCCCGCTGATATTGCTGGAGCAGCGCCTCAATTCTTGCTAGGGAGTCATTCTCCCCTTCTTCATCACTTGCATCATTTTCATCCCCTTTGTAAGGGGTCTCAACCGGCTCGGTTTCCGGTTGGTAAGTCGAGTCCTCATAGGACCAGTAGGTTTCACTTTCTGTGTCGACATGACCGTCACTCACGGTCTGTGATCGGCCTCCACGGCCAGCTCCTCTATATGCCCTAGAGGTCCTTCGACTGCCCTGTCCAGTCTCCACTGGTACACGGCCAGTCGGGTTTCTCCTAGTAATCCTGCCACCACGGTCCATTTCTGAAAGAAATTTGGAAAGAGTCGTTAGACTCGTATCAAATGTCAATTGACGGATAGGTACTTAAGACACATTTTGGCTCGAGTCACCGTCATACCAATTGTTAAGGCTACCATCTTAACAATTAGAGACCTTGCAACCCAAGTACCAAAAGCTCTCCAAGTACAAAACTTCTATGCTCATGGTTTTCAAAATCTTTTCAAAAAGAGAATTTTGAGACTTCATTATGAAGTTTATGGACTAAGGCTCTGATACCAATTAAATTGTCACGCCCCGGACCTCTCCGGACACGTCAACAACCCGCCGTACAATACGA